TTAGTCTCTAAGGTGCCACAAGGACTCCTCATTGTTTTTGCTGATACAGACAAACACGGCGACCACTCTGAAACCTTCTTGAACTGGACACAGCATTCCAGAGTAAAATAACCTCTCTACTCAAGAGTCTCCTGTTTATACATCCAAGGATTGCATTAGCCCTTTTGGCCACAGGATCGTACTGGGAGTTCAGGATCAGCTGATTATCCACCAGGACCACTCAAGTCTTTTCAGAGTCACTCTTTCCCAGGATAGAATCCCCCATGGTTCTATCACCAAACTTTTGATATCTGACTAATGTTTTCAAATTGCAGGGATAAAGAGCCAGAAACAAAAACTTCATTTTTTCCATCTTCCTATTCTTTAGAAATATAATGACTGGAAGAACATATACTATCCTGTGAAGTTAGGACAACTTTTGGAAAAAAGTCACATTCATACAACATACATTTAGGCAGAATTTATAAAGCTGTGTGTTGTTAAAAATGATTGTATAAATAACAATACATCGCATATAAAAAGCAATAACTTAATCTTCTTTGGCAGCTTTTTATTACCCTTCATTATAAGTACATTTAAATTCACTTTTTCGTTTTCCAAGGGATGCAGTTTATTTTGTGGATGAGAGCCACTTGGTCTCTCTTCCTTTTTTGATGTTCTATTGCAACTCACTGGCAGCAGCTGTAACAAAGTATTTTTAAAAACCTTTTTAATCAATCAGTCTTCGAGTTACTTGAAAAACCTCTTTATATGGAATACACAAAACACATAGCCTCACACTTCATGATAGCACAGAGAACTGTGTGTCTGCCAGCATTTGTGTTACAGAACACCGTAACTTAGCCCTACAAGTTCACTCCAAACACAACCTGGCTTAGAAAAACTGAACATATAACCCAAAGTTCAGATCTTGTTTAACAGGATAAGATATGTGCAAATGCCAGGAAGCCCTACAAAAACAGAGGTCCAGGATATTCAGTTCTCAATTGCAACCATGTGAGAAAATGTGTACACGCAATGCTTTTCTCTATGATGCCTGTCTGCTCCATTCTCTTTGGGCCCTTTTCGGGGGGGAGCAGGGGTCATCTATGTATGAGTTTATTTCTCATGAAAAAGTGTCAGATTGACAGCTGAGTCCACTTTATCCACAGAACATGTTACCAGTGTCTGTAATGTACACTGGCCTAGAAGAAGTAAAAGGCTTCAGATCTCATCATTACTAGTCCCACCTTGTCTGTTCTTATCTGAAGGCATCAATATTTATTATTTAGATCGCAGTGGCATCCACTTTCCAAATAAAAAAAGACGTCAGAGTTCTTGCCCTATATATATAAAGCCCAATGTATCTATAAAGTAAGAAATGTTACTGATGCGTGCAAAACGGCAAGTTATTTTCCCAAACTTGTGCATTGTAAGATTTTTGGGGGGTGTGGGAAATTGATGTACGCATAGTCAAAGCAGAATCATTTTATACAAATAACTATGACAGCAGAATTTATTTGGAGGGATCTGGGGGGAGGGAGGAAAGAGCCTTAGCACTACATCCCATTGATTTAAAAAAACTGAAGCTGTTAGCAGCTTGTTGCAAGAATGTTAGTATTTAGTACAACAGTGTGTACTAACATTTAAATTTCATTGTTTCTAAATTCCAAGTTAATGTAGCAGCTCAAAGAATAAAATTCACTGCGTTGACCTTCTCTTTCTTCAATGGAGTAATCAAAACAAAAAAGAAGAAAAGAAAAAAATACTAAAAGCAGGGAGCCTGTAATCATAGGAAAATTGTAATGACAGCCTGTAAAAGTTTCCTGCAGCTAAATGTCACTAAGAAGAAAAAACTTTTACAAAAAGATTGAACAAACTCCTGCTTGTGGGATTTTAGCAAGATTAGGTACAGCCAGGATTTTTGCAATAAGTAATTTATCTTTAAATATGAAATAAATCCAGAATAGTTAACTACAACATAATACACATCTTTACCATGTCTTCAATGTATCATCTGGTTGCCACACTGTACAAATAATTTTACTATATGTGTGATTTGACAGCTGGATTTAATTGTCTTTCTGTAAACTCAGCAGACATTTATAAAAAGCACTAGATATCAACCCAGTGAAACAAATACTACAATAAAAGCCACTTACATTTGAACATGTCAGATAATCTATTAAAAAAAATTATCCATGGGCAATAGAATCCATCATACACAGAAGTTATCTTTCCATAGATATTCTTCGCTTAAACCTGTAAGTGTTTGCAGGATTGGGGCCTAACTTTCAGACCAGGAGTAGTCCCAATGAAGTCAATCGAAACTACTCACATGCTTAAAAGTTATTGATAAGCATCTGCAGTACCAAGGCCTTACATGTTAGCTTTTATGTTCAATCACACTGTTCAGATGGTAGAACAGACAATATAATCTAAAATACTTCATAGCACATTAAAGAGATTGAAATTTTAATATTTTATATTACACATCAAATGTGCATTTGGAACTTCACTACCAGGTCTGAAAATTAGGAAAAACGAGAACTGCATACTTAAACTACTTTAAGGTATCTGACTGCAGATAAGGCCCTAGCTCTTCTCAATGCAAGGGTGAATAATGACATAATTTATACGTTGAGATAGATACAAGTAAATATCTTTTCCCTGACATGGGAAATACCTCTGAGTCTACAAGACATTTAGAAGAGCATAATCTAATATTACAGGGAACAGCTCTTACTGCAAGACATTTTTAAGGAAGCAAACTTTAACTAATGCTTCCCCCAGCCAGTATAGTTGTAATACTTTCTACAGCTAACATCTGTAAATAAACATTCTCCTCTAATCTCATTTAGAGGAAAAGGCATCTTTACAACTCTGTCCTTGAAATCCATGACTTATCATGGAAAGGAGCATCTGCACCTGACCGAGAGATATGCTGCTCCCCTGAATACAGGTGACTACATACTGAGTAACATTAATGCCAACAAACAAAAACTGCTCAATTTTCAGAAACAGACACTGATTACAGATGTCCAACTTGAGATGCTGGAGTTCTGATATTCAAAAGGTGCCGAGCTCATAGCTCCCACTCAACACTTCTGAAAAATCAGGTCTATAGTACCTCAGACTAGCACCCCAAATCTGTGGTCACGGTTGACAATGTTGGCCTTAGCAATGCTAGTGTTAACTTTTATCTGAACTGATTTTCAGAATGGACTTCTTATGCTTCCCAATATCAGGCCAAATCCTCCAGTCCATACTCAACCAAAACTCCACTGAAATCATTCATTGTTACAAAACCTGCAATGACTCTATATACAACAATCACAAGAATATTTTATGAACCAGACTGACATAGCAACTATGCTCTGAGAGGAAACTAAATTTATCAGACAAAACAAATATCCACACTTCACCAGGCACTGACAACATCCTTGATGCTGTATCAGATCAAGGAAGACTAAACTAGCAGCCTTTGACAAACTGGTATATTCGAGTTTATGGAATGCTTGGTATATTTAATAAGAATCATCAGTGAAGGGTGTTATTTATGCAATATTATAAATGTTTTAAACAGAACCAGATCCCATGCAAACTGCTGTGTGCAGGAAAAAACATTTTACTGATTTTACATAAAGAAACAGCATCCAACCACAGTGACAGCTAAATAATACCACTTACATTCAGTAAATTAACCTGATAGTTCTTTTTAGATAGCTGCAGTCTTTTTTTTTTTTTGGGGGGGGGGCAGATTGATTAATATTTACTCTATCAGTTTTGCCGTTTTCTAATTGACAAGAAAAAATGGTTTTCCCTTGTTTTGAATGGCGCTGAAATTAACATCTGTTTTTCCTCAAAGCAAGCTATTTAAGCAAGGGCCATGTTAAAAATGAATGGGACTTTTGCCAATGTCTTCAACAGGCAGGGGATCCAGGCCATAGGTTCTGTGCATGCCTATGTTGTTAATGAAGACTTCACTGTCATGGACATGGTTTTATTAGTTAGCTATTGCTAACACAGATAGAAAGAGGAATACCATCGTGGTTCTTTGTACTGGGAAGTGAAGTAATAGATTTAAAACAGGACATAAACCAGTGAACTCACAATTTAGAAGCAGATTAAGTCTTGAACTAAACTTGATATGGCCTTCTGACTACATAATACAGTACTTGTAATTGTGAAAGGGCTGTATTAAGATGTTTCACTGTAGTTTCTATGGAATGTAACTCCAGTTAGTGTTGCTGTCATGGATTTTACTCGGTCTTACCAGTGTGAAACTCCGTAACAAACAACTCACATTTTTTTTTTTTAAAAAAAAGATCAAACACCACCTCAATTTGCTAGAAAAGGAACAAAAGAGAAACCTCCACAATCAGATATGGTCTTAGACCCGATATTGGAGCTTTTGGCTTCCTTCCTTCTCTATTTTTTGCCAGACTCATCATCAGATTCCTAAACACAAGCCAAAGCACATTTGCTTTCACACCTCTTCACTGGAACTTGGTTAATATATTTCCCTGTTCCCTTAAATGAAATCCCTTCATTTTATGCTGGATTTGTACCAAATATTCTAATTTAGTGGACACCCACATATTTTGGAGTTCTTTAGTAACACAAAGAAGTTTTCTAGCTCAAAGCCTGTGGCATATTTGATTCAAATGAACAAGATCAACTTGTTTCAGAACTTTCCTCCCTAAATTATACCAAAATCTTGTCAGCACAGCAACTCTTATAAAAACATAAATAACCATATTTTTTTCTTGTTCATAAAATAAATTCTACTCAATAAATCAATTTTTCTATGGTTTAAGAATCACCTTGGCTTATTTTTTTTTTTTAATAAAAGAGGAACCTTTCCAGATGTCAATTCTACCTAAATATTTTTTGTGAAAGAGGAACTTTCAAAACCTAACACAGAAGCATAGGTTTCTTTTAAACTGTGAAACAAGTTTTACAAATCCTTATTTTGAACTCTATTATGAGGATATGGTAAAATAAAGGAATTTACTCACTCATGACTGGAAACTTCTTTGCATATAGCCCGAGACAGGTATAGAACCAAGGTATCTTCTTAGAAAAGGTTTCTCAGAGGTATACATGTCCTGAACAAAGAAAGAAAAGGGTATTATTCTCACAAACTTATACCCAAACAATTAAAAATGATTCTTTCAAAATAAATTACTTTCCTTAGTTTGTCATCCCCTTTCTAAAAAAAAAAAAAAAATTAAAGAAAGAAACCTCACACCAAAAAGTGTCTTTGTTAATTCTTGGATTTCATTGTTTTATGATATGAAACAACATTCTTGAAATTTAATCTTCTAAAATTCTCACTTTCTTGTAAAAGTCATTCTAGTAGGTCTTCAAAGACTAATTCATAAACATTAACTGCTCCCTTATGGGTAATAAATGTTCATAAGGCATGAAATACAAGATTGATCACATTTTTTCTAGTAGATGTAGCGTTATTATAAAAGTCATACTTCCTCCCAAGTACATTCAGTTAGCAGTAAGATGCAGTAAAAAGTACTCTATAACGAGATGACCATACACATAATTTAGTAAGTAAATATGCTGTTGGCACTAACTTCTATACTTTCCCCGCTCCTCCAAGAAACCAAGTCTTGAAAAGTGACAACTCCATCTAGTGTGAGTGTAAGCCATCATACCTGTCAAATATAAAAATCCAAACCGAAACAAGACACCTAAGTAGGACAGATGTTGATTTTTTTTTTTTTAAACAATACATGCTTGGCTTTATCCATAGCTAAACATGCAACATTAATTTGTAATAGTAAAAGCACAGCAAAGTACGCTTTAGAAGGTTTATTAAATAACCTCCATCCTGCTATGAGCAATTTTATACAGATGTATGAAAACAGTTAAAATTGAGATGACTCTCTCATAATTAACTTAAAACCAAAAACAAGAAACGCAAAATCCATTATATATTAGGCTATAAAGAGAGTTTTCTTTCAATACGTGCATAAGGATAGACTTTCTGTAAACTAAGGAATATTCTCTAATATGATCTATTTCTTCTTTCCAGAACCAAATATAACTTGCAGAGTCTGACCACCTGTGCTAGTCAAACCAGATAATTCCTTCTGCTGACTCAGATTTCAAGTCTCAACTCTCTTCATCTCATAAGGCTAAAGAGAATACACACAAGGAGAGACAATTATCAAACTTCTTTAAAAGTGTGACTGAGCATAACATTTACAGATTTGCAGCAAATGCCAAAAGAGTAAAGGGAAGAGCATAGTCATGTACTGTTGAGCCAGCTCCCACTCCTGGATCAATTGCTAAAATGGGCAAAAGGGACAGCTAGAAAGAAAAATGCAACAGTGCTGTGGCTTTATAAACACCAATGAACATTGCAACCAGCCCCTGTGCACTGGAGGGAATGTGAGAAGGACAGACTTAGGAGGGAGAAGAAAATGGAAGCACTGAGTAACCATATTTAAAAACAAAAGAACACAAAGTTGTGAGATGCTGCAATTGCTAAAGAAAAAATTTGACATTTCAAGTCCTGTTGATTCTCTCCATGAATGACTGCTAAATTGAACATCTAAGCACACACAGCTTAAACAAAAATAAAATGCCTAGTTAAAATATATCATTAGAACTGCAGTCCTGTCAGTTTTCTTTCGATTACTGATGTCAAAATTAGCAAATGTAATGTTCACTACATTTAATCACTTACTACACTAATTACAGTTATTATACTAGAGTATCCTTATGGCTGGAATTATACAGATTTGGGCCCCAATCTTGCAATTGGACTGCATGTGTGGAGTCAACTGGCGAATCAGAGCCCTGCACTCAAATGTGTTTTTAGGAGGATATTGTCTCACCTATGCTACAGGAAAAACAGCATACTAGCAGAGCGCTCTGCTTTAGTAGGGATATCTGAATTACAATACTTTCTATTGCTGACGTGGACAGGAAAACACAGCTCTATAAACAAAAGCAAACCCTTAGTTTTGAAAAACAGTCAGTGTTGCTAAGTGACAACAACGTAGTTATCCACCACATCATTTACAAAATCCAAGCACCCTAAAAACTAAGGAAATTAGTAGTTAAGGTGATCATAAATTTTACACCGCCCGCATATTAAGTACAAAGTGTGTGTTTATTAAGTATGAAGAAATGCGTATTTCACTATATTGTAACCTGAACTCTAATCGGGGGGAGGGAGGAGGGTAAGAAGGGCGGTGATAAATGATTTCACTAACTAAATATTTTCTTTGAAGATATGTTGTTAAATGAGACATATCAGTAAATATTTTTATGCTGAAGTATACTTTCTGTTCCTCAAGAATAATGCTGCATATGTAGTTTAAAAAAGGTGTAACATTGTCAAATTTATAGTTAAAGTGTGGACATGGATTGCATTTGAGGCTGATCAATATGTACATGCAGTTCTTTTTTTTTTTTTTTTTCTTTTAAGATTGTGTGTTGTTAGTATTTTTAGATTACTGATGAAAGAATAATATGGGGGTAGGGGGTAGAGTGGAGGCTACTGTGTTGTGACCAAATATGCATTTTACAGTTGATAAGAAGAGCATATTTATTACTGTGTGGTAAAATTTGGGGCGGGGGGGAAGGAGGGGATGTTTAAAATGATGCAGTAAGTATCTATAGAATTGTCACTTAGCATCTTTTTTATTTTTTAACAAAGGTGTTTGGGGATTTTTTTTGCAAAAGTTACAGACTGTTTTCTTACATACCAACAACATTAAGAAGTATTGTAACACACATGCTCCTCAGTGAGACAGAAAACCGTTAATTGTTTTTTTTGTAGTGAAGATGCGTCCCTTAGAAAGGTTATCTTCATGTAAGATGTTGAATCAAGGTCTTTTCTGCCTTCCGGTAGCTAGCCAGGTAGAAAATAAATACCTTATGTCCTGTACTCTTTTCCGAAACAGTTAAGCCTGGCCAATATTGCCTCTATGAATAAAGCAGGTTCTAATATCCTTCCAGGGTACGCAAGTTATTACTGAGCTTTAAATGCTGACATGTTTGCCTACACAGTCACTGAGCTACCAATACCTCTTAGCTTTGAAAGGAGTATTTAGATACCTCAGGTATGGGAAGGAAACACCAAATTCACATCTACTTAAAAAAAAAATCGAAATACATCATATCCCACCTAACATTGTATCAGCATTGACTCTGAACTTTCCTCTTGTAAACTGTAATTTCTACGTAAACCATCATGAATGTAATCAGGGCTGTAACTAAATTACAGGGTATGATAGCCTTGTTCTATGCAGTTTACATCATCCATGCAATGCCAAAGTAGAATCTTACAATGCACAAGAGTATGAGATTCCTTTAAAATTATAATTAGAAATTCAGCTCTAATTACTGTTCTGTGCATACTCAATTTTAGTACCATTTTAACTTAGATGGACAGACGTTTCAAATAAGAAAGAATGTACATTTCCAGTCATCAGGAAGCAGAGAGACCATAGGATCTTTGTCCTGAAGATTTACCAAGTGTGTGTCATATACCCACAGAGTTTATATACATAAAATCATGATAAAGTGATCAAAACAGAGCGTAAATGCAAAGAAATTATTTTGGTGTAATTTACTTTCCCCAGAAGCCTAAACTGCTATTATCCTTCAAAAGGTAACAGATTCAGAGCTTTCACAAGGGTATATTTGAAATTCTGACAGGCAGCAAATGAACAAAATATAACATCTAAAATTATTAGTTTCCAAGACACATAATGAGAGAGCAAAGGGACTGCTGGTTTAAAGGCAATTTCAGTAATCTAAAAATATTTCACCCTGCACTCAGTTTGCATCTGAAGTAAGAAGTTATAATCAGTAACATTATATAAAAGATTTGTTAAAGTTTAAAAACAGGCAAGCACAGTCACCTAAGCGCAGTGCCACTAAAGCGAAACTTACAACAAATTAAGAACTTAATTTGATCTGGTGTTTAGTTATGCCCAAGTGAGAGAGAGAACATAAAATTCACAATAATGAAACTGTCGTATGGTTTAATGAGACAAGGTGGGTGAGGTAATATCTTTTATTGGCTCAACTTCTGTTGGTGAAAGAGACAAGCTTTCGAGTTTACACAGAGCTCTTCTTCTGCCCTGTTCCAATAAACGATATTACCTTACCCACTTTCTCGCTCTATATCCTGGGACCAACACAGTTACAACACTGCATACTACTGTTTAATAATCTAAACTGACTCACTGATTAACCACAAATGAGGAAGCATACAGTAGAAGCACAAATCAAATAAGCACAATGACACACCCTCTTCTTTGAGCACAGCTGGAGTACTTATACTACAAAAAAGTGTTCAGCAAATTGCTTTTGGCTCTCTGCAATGTTAATTGGTTCCTGGATTTAGTATATGTAAGCCTAACAAAATTTGAGTTTCTACTGTGCAATAGCAGCTTTAGAAGCTAATAGAATACTCAAATTTAGTGACACATTAAGTAATCATACAAAAGTTACTCTTTTGTGAAGATATTATACAACACTGGTCCCCCGTGAAAGCTACTTATTTGTTGTAGAGAAGGAATATACTTTCATTCCATCAAAATTCACCATTAGAGCTAAAGTCCAGTCAGCCCCTAGCAGTTGAGTTTCTGTGCCACTACTTATTCCAAACCGCAACTACACAAAGAAAGTTGTTCTTTAAGTGTGCACGAGCAACTGAATGGTTCGTGAGATGGTAGAAGGAGGCAGACCATTTCTGTCTTCATCTGAATCCAGCCCCAGTCAACAGTGAAATAACTTTGGTTTCATTCCAGTTCCCTGCAGACAGATGTCCACAAAAACCACAATATACTTTGACAACCAGCTCTTTTGTTGGCAGTCTCAGTAGATGCCAAGGACTGAGAACGCCATGGCGATTGAAGTATATCGGCAGCACGCTATGTGGGAACCCTGTTTAGTCAGGCTGTTCTATACTAAGCGTGCGCACTTCAGTCTCAAGGCTTGGCCAGCTGGCACCTTCAAGAAAATAACCCAGAGTTTTGATAGTGTCCATAGTTATTAGCGCCAGAAAGTTCCCATTGCTACTTCAAATATCCAGACCTCAATTATCCCAAACTCCGCCATTCTCCAACAGCAATGGCACCAAAGAGCCCCCAGCCATCTTGACACAGAGCCCCATCCCCAACAGCAATTACAACAGAGAGAGGTTATCATAGACCTGGTTATCTGGCAGAGTGACGTCTCTCTCTCACACACACACACCCAACAGCAACAACACCAGAGAGCCCACAAATTATCCAATACCCCCCCCCCCATCGCCCTGACGCAGAGCCCATCCTCGGCTCAAAAGGCAGTGACACCAAAGAGCCCCCAGTTTATCTGAGCTCCCCCATCTCCTCAACGGCGATGGCATCAGACTCCCCCTGGATCACCCAAACCCCCTCATCCCGCTGGCACCGCCCCCCAGGCTCCCCACAGCGATGATGCTTCCCCAGCCAGCCCCCGGAACTCCCCACCTCCTGACACTGTCCTCACCGGCCCCCTCCCGCCATGCTGAGGCCCGGCCCCCTCCCCAACAGGGCGGAGACACACACACAGGCGTAGCAGAGGGGCCTGCGCCCCTTCTCTGGTTTGAAGCTGACAGGGGTCCTGCCCCCTCCGTGAGTGGCGGGGTCCGGCTCCCCCCCACCCGCAATGGAGAGCTCCGGCGCTCCACCCCTGTAGCACTCGGAATGGAGGGGTCCGCCTCCTCAACCCCTCGGAACAGAAAGGTCCGCCCCCCCCTTACCCGCGAGTGGAGGGGCCCGGCTCGCCACCCCCCGCGGCTCGGAATGGAGGAGTCCGCCTCCCCTCTGACCCACCGGCCGTGAGGACGGAGCGGGGCGGCCGCCGGTCCCAAGTCGGAGCGCAGTGGCCGGACGTCCCGTCCCGTCCCGTCCCGTCCGGTCCCTACCTTGCCTCGGCCTCCGTCCGCCTCCTCCCCGCAGGCGCTTCCCCGTACAGTGCCCCGGCCCCAGCGGCCTCCAACCAGGAAGCGCCCCGGTGTGTGACACCTACTCACTGCAGCTATGGAAACCCCACTCCCACCCCGCCTGCGGCCACAGCGCCGCCCCATAGGGCGAGCCCACGGCCGCCGCCATCTTGGGCTCACAACGAGGCTGAGGGGGACCGAGTGTCGCCACACGGGGCGAGCCCGCGGCCGCCGCCATCTTGGGCTCACAACGAGGCTGAGGGGCCCAGGTGCTGCCCTGTGCGGGAGCAGGTGGTTCTCCCTCTGTGCAAAGGGAAGGCTGGCCCTTGCTGGAGTCAGGTAACGCTGGATCCACGGGGCATGGCTCCCTGTGACAGCGGCTAGGCATGCATGGTGCTGTATAGGTATTAAATGTGGCAGGGGCCCTGGCCCAAGACGCTTGCAATCTCATGTGGACACAAGGCGAAGATAAGCTGGCCAGCACTGAGACTGGGATGGGATGGGAGGAGAATTAGTGGGGTAACAATACAAGTAGGCAGGGGAAAGGGAAGTTCAGCAGGGGGATCACTTTTCTTTTTGTATTACAGACACTTCTGGTTGTGTCCATTTGAGTTGTACAAGACTCCTGACCCCCTCGTCTCCTGAAAGCATCAATTTCGAGCCCCCAAAATCGGATCTTTTAAAAAAAAATGGTGACATTTAAAAAGAATTAATACCTTTGAAATGCTTTTTATTATTTTGTTTTTGAAGTGTAACGAGCACATGATTGAGCTTTTCTCCACCACCAGGAAGATTAGAAATGTACTTTAAAAAAAATGAAAGAAAACAGATTTTCCCATTATTTCTTTCAGAGCTAGGATCTTAAGCAAAACAGCAAATATCACAAGATCTAACAGCATTGCCATGGTGGTTGGGAGTTTGATTTTTTAATTTTTTTTTAATAGTGTATAGGGGGAGTGCAGTAGTTCGGGCAGCTGCTAAGAGCTGCAGAAATGAGTTGCTTATGTAGAGGCTGGCTTTAAGAAACAAGTTGTTAGGAGGGATTTGATTTGAAGAAGAGGAATGACAGATAAATGGAGACATTTTGGAAAAGAGATGCCTTGGGAATTAGTAGTTCTGGGTTCTGTTCTTGTTTTTAATCTCATAGCTTGTTAACATTCACTAACTAATCCTTCTTCACCACACCCTATACTTACTGTAATAGGTAAATATAATTTCCATTTTATAGATAGAGACTGAGGCACAGTGAGAATAAGACACAGATCCTCAAAGGTATTTAGAAGCCTAAATACCTTTGAGGATCTGGGCCTAAGTACATAACCTAGGTCACACACAAAACTACCAGCAAACAACCATACCCAGAAACAGAATCCAGTATTCTTAACTCCTCATCCTATCCCTAGATAACACTACCTTCCTAAATTACTTAAATGCCTTATTTAGGAACTGCTGAAGGCTCTGCATAGTGATTATCAAACATATGAGAGCTGATATGCAAGGTAGTGGCAGAACCTTACAGAGTGGAGAGTGGCATCAACCTTAAGTTTACTTGTCAGGGTAGGGACTTCTATGCCCCTGATCCTAGAACTACATATGCACACATGTAACTTCCCACATGTGAGCAGTCCTGTTAGTTGTGTACAAATAATATACACATACATGCCTGGTGCTTTAAAATGGGCCAGTTTACCAGAGTTGAAAATAATTAGGAACAAAATTGGGAAGGAAAAATAAACAGAAAAATATGAAAGGTAGCTGGAGCTGTTTGGAAACATTTCATTAGATGCCTAAAATCTCTCCGTTCCACAATCACCAAAGGCAGCTACTTTGATTTAGAAAAAAAAAAAAAAATTGTAGTCAAGAGGGAAGCAAACAGTAACAATAAATTATATATATATAACACATTGAAAAAAGGAAGGTTGACAGCAATGAGCATAAATTAGAAGTTAAGAAACTAGATAGGACATGAATAGGAAAAGAAGTATGAAGAATATACAGCTAGGAAGATAAGGACGGTATGATTTTTTTTTAAAACATATTAGGATTCCTTTTTTCCTGATAAGGATATAGATACATTACTAAACAGAAATAGTAATTGTGCAGAAAAAACAAATGTTAAATAAGAAGTTTTGTATTTTGAAAGATGCTGGATAATGTATTTATTTTATAATGATTAAATACTTTCTAGTTCAACAGTAACTAATGACAACGTTAAAAAGAATCTACTAAAGTTAAACATTTTAGAATCTGCAGCTCCAGATAACTTGCATCCATGAGCTGTGCTCTCTAGACCATTGATGTTGTTTTTAATAAATCTTAGAATACTGATGAAGTTCCAGAAGACTAAAAAAAATCTACTGTCGTGCTACTATTTAACCGTATGACCCAAGTAATTACAGACTGGCTAGCCTGACAACAAGCCCAGGCAAAATAATGGAATACCTCATATGGGATTCAATCAGTAAAGAATTAAATGATGATAATATAATTGAATGTCTATCAGCATAGCTTAATGGGAGATCTAGTCAAACAAGCTTTTTTTTTTTTAATAGATTTCAAATGTGGCTGATAAAGATAACCTCTTTTACTAACTGGTGTTAAGAATTTTCTGCCCAGTGCATATTATTGAGCAAGATCTCAGGTGCTTATCCTAAGTAGGAGGTAAGTACGAGCCCCCTCCCAATTTTACAGAAAGAATAACAGGTTGCACTGGGTTGCTTCTGGCAGAGCTGGAAGTAAAACCCAAGGTTTCTACTATGGCAGATCCCCCATCTCAGTGATACAGCCTCTCAGAAAAAGTCTGGCAAATCAGGGTGCTCGGATGTGAGAGTAGTAGCATTTCACACTGACTTTGTACAGCGATAAAATAACTCCAAGGTGCAGACAGTGGAGAATCAAATCTGTAGCGTCTATATGTCTCCTCTGTTCTCATCCTGTTCAGAGGAAAAGTCACAAATGGCAGTGATTTACCCTTTCAAATATTTTAGAAAGTAATTGTGATTGACTGGCATGTCAGCACCTCACAAAGCTGGAGAGACTTACAATGGCCTTTTCTTACTCCTTCCAATTTAAAGTCTTAATTGTCTTGTTCAAGATTTTAGAAGCTCTTCGAATACATAAACACATTTAGTTTTCTTCAAGCTGGGGATATTTTCCCTTCCTAAATGGCTAATTACTTAAGATAAATGTCTTCCAAAGAGCGCGCTCTCCCTCACCTAACCCATCTGCCCTCCACTTACTACACATTCAAACTATATGTCATCATTTTCTGTTTCCTGCATGATCATTGGTTTCTGTTGTAATGTTACAACAGTGGTTGTGAAATTGTTTTAAAAGTGGAATTTTCAGAGTGGCTGACAGTGATATCATGCTTGTGTTAGCAATAACCCTTCAATTCACAGGTAATGTCTCCACCAGCACTCCTTTTTTATTGCAGTGCTTAGACAGAAGAGCAACAATCAGTCTTATTTATACAGATCAAAAAATATATATGTGGTACTTTAGAAGCAAATAAGAGACACAGGGTCAGCTCATCAGTTGGTGTCTTTACTGAAGTCAATGGAGCTGTACTGATTTACATCAACGAAGAGTCTCGCCCATGATCCTAGTTTTTAAAAAGTTACAGTCTGTCAGGTCTTAGGCAGTCCTCATGGTCAGAGCAGGAGTCAGGCCTACTAGACAGAGTCCAAATGCGAGAGCCCAAGGTCAAGGCACAGTCAGAGCTGGGGACTGGAGCTGAAGGTCAGAACTAAAGTTAGAGTCTGAATGCCAGAACCAAAGATCAAGACAGAGAGTCAGAACCAGGGCCAAGGATCAGAGTCCGAATGCCTGAGCCCAGGGTCAAGACAGAGCCAGACCTAGGAATTAGTGCTGATGGTCAAAGAACTGATTATCTGGAGTCAGGGAACCAAGGAGCAGTTGCAAGGCAGAAGCAAGACTGGATGCAGGGCTTGGAGTGAGACAAGCACAGGGAGGCAGAGAATCCACAGGTATGTTCATTGAGCAGCCACTGATCTACTGAAGCCACTTGGCTTAAGAGCAAGCCATCTGAATACCTTAGCCCAGTGGTCCCCAAACTGTGGGGCATGACCCTTGGGGGGGGCACAGAGGAACATTATGGGGGGCATGGCCACCTAGCCCCACTCTGCTTCCAGCTGTGCCGCAGCCCCCAGCCCGGCCACAGCTCAACACTCAGCCATGGCCCCGGCCCCACCCCAAGCCTTGGACCCCAGTTGTGGCCCCATCCTTGGTCTCCAGCCCCAAACACAGCTCCAGGCCTGGCCCCAGACCCACCCCCAACCGTGGCCCTGGCCTCGGCCTCTGGTCCCCAGCCTGGATGCAACTCGGGCCCTGACTGCGGCCCCGCTCCCAGCCACAGCTCCTGACCATGGCTCCCAGAGGGGAAGAAGTGCAGATGGGGGGGTCGGCTAGATGTAAAAAGTTTGGGAACCACTGCCTTAGCCAATCAGGTGGTTTTGCTGTGGCCAAGCTGCACACATTGATTGACTGACTGGTCAGGCGCAGCTACAGGCCCTTATTGCTGACACAGTCCGAGATCTTACAGTGTTCTGGGCACACTGCATGCCAACTAAGTGAAGGCACTGAGCCCTCTGAAGGTCAGCACTTCATCTTTTTATGCCTTTATTTAGGACCCAGTACTGCAAGGGGCTGAATTCTGATATTACTGTGCTGTGATAATTAAAAACACACTATACTCAAAAGACCAACACATCAGGCTAAAGTCTCTCTATAATAAAGTAACCAGTTTAGGGTTACCAGGCACCTGGTTTTTTACCAGAATACCTGGTCAAAAAGGGCCCCTGGTGGCTCCACTCAGCACATCTGACCGGGCCGCTAAAAGTCCAGTTAGCCACAGTTGCCAGCTCCCGGAAGCAGCTGGCATGTCCTTCTGGCTCCTAGGCAGAGGGGAAGCCAGGGGGGGCTCCGCACGCTTTCCCTACCGCAGTGCAGGCACCACCCCGAGTGTCCACTCCAAATCTCCCATTGGCTGGGGACCACGGCCAATGGGATCTGCAGGGGCAGCGCCTGCGAGCAGTGCACAGAGCCCCCATGGTCGCGCCTGCACCTAGGAGCCAGAGGGACATGTTGCCGCTTCCCAGGAGCTGCCTGAGATCAGTGCTGCCTGGAGCGCACACCCCGAATCTCCTCCAGTGCCCCAACCCCCTGCCCCAGCTCAGAACCCCCTCCAGGAGTCTGCGTCCCTGCCCAGAGCCCCCTCCTGGACCCCAGACCTCTCATCCCCATCCCCACCCCAGAGCCCACACCCCCTCTCAACGCCCTGCCCCAGCCTGGAGCCCATCCACACTCCAAACCCCTCA